GCAAATGACACTATAGACAAAGGTCTGATATCCAAGATCTATAAAGAACTCCTCAAACTCAACACACACAAAACAGTTAATCACATCAAAAACTGGGCAGAAGACATGAACAGACATTTCCCCCAAGAAGACGTACAAATGGCTAACAGAAACATGAAAAAATGCTCAACATCATTAGCCATCAGGGAGATTCAAATCAAAACCACATCGAGATACCACCTTACACCAGTTAGAATGGCCAAAATTAAATTAACAAGACAGTAAAGAAGAAGTGTTGGAGAGGGTGTGGGGAAATGGGAGCCCTCTTACACTGCTGGTGGGAATGCAAGTTGGTGCAGACGCTTTGGAAAACGGTGTGGAGATTCCTTGAGATATTAAAAGTAGAGCTACCCTATGACCCTGCAATTACACTACTGGGTATTTACCCCAAAGATACAGATGTAGTGAAAAAAAGGGCCACCTGTTCCCCAATGTTCATAGCAGCAATGGTCACGGTCGCCAAACTGTGGAAAGAGCCAAGATGCCCTTCAACGGTTGAATGGATAAAGAAGATGTGCTCCACATATACAATGGAATATCGCATCTCCATCAGAATGGATGAATACCCAACTTTTGTATCAACTTGGATGGGACTGGAAGAGATTATCTTGAGTGAAATGAGTCAAAAAGAGAAAGTCAATTATCATATGGTTTCACTTACTTGTGGAGCATAAGGAGTAACATGGAGAACATTAGGAAAAGAAAAGGAAAAGTGAACTGACAGAATATTTTTGAAATTACTTGTTTCTCATGAAAAAAAGAGTTTCTGTGAAATATAGAATTCCTAGCAACAATGATGGATCACAGTTTGTGTTAGTCTAACCAGTTAATCTGGAGTGATTTCTTTACTTATAGCTAAGATATTTTGGCTGTCCTTTCAAATAGTGAAAAAATAACGCAATCTATGTTATTGCAAGATCATTATTAGTAGTTGCTTAAAAAACCCTTCTTTTTTAATTTATTTTTTTATTTTTTATTTTTTTATTGACATATAATGTATTATTAGCCCCAGGGGTACAAGTCTGTGATTCGCCAGGTTTACAAACTTCACAGCACTCTCCATAGCACCTCCCCTCCCCAATGTGCATAACCAAACCACCCTCTCCCTCCCCACCCCCCACCCCAGGCCACCCTCAGTTTGTTTTGTGTGATTAAGAGTCTCTTATGGTTTGTCTCCCTCCTGATCTCATCTTATTTCATTTATTCTCTTCCTACCACCCAAACCCCCTATGTTGCATCTCCACTTCCCCATATCAGGGAGATCATATATAGTTGTCTTTCTCAGATTGACTTATTTAGCTAAGCATGATACCCTCTAGTTCCATCCACATCATCGCAAATGGCAAGATTTCATTTCTTTTGATGGCTAATAGTATCCCATTATATATATATATATATATATATCTCACATCTTCTTTATCCATTCATCTGTTGATGGACACCTAGGTTTTTCCATAGTTTGGCTATTGTGGACATTGCTGCTATAAACATTCGGGTGCACATGCCCCTTCAGTCACTACATTTGTATCTTTAGGGTAAATACCCAGTAGTGCAATTGCTGGGTCATAGGGTAGCTCTATTTTCAACTTTTTGAGGAACCTCCATGGTGTTTTCCAGAGTGCTTGCACCAGCTTGCATTCCCACCAACAGTGTAGGAGGGTTCCCCTTTCTCCGCATCCTCGCCAGCATCTGTCATTTCCTGACTTGTTAATTCTAGCCATTCTGACTGGTGTGAGGTGGTATCTCATTGTGGTTTTGATTTGTATTTCCCTGATGCTGACTGATGTGGAGCACTTTTTCATGTGTCTGTTGGCCATCTGGATGTCTTCTTTGCAGAAATGTCTGTTCATATCCTCTGCCCATTTCTTGATTGGATTATTTGCTCTTTGGGTGTTGAGTTTGATAAATTCTTTATGGATTTTGGACACTAGCCCTTTATCTGATATGTCGTTTGCAAATATCTTCTCCCATTCTGTCAGTTGTCTTTTGGTTTTGTTAACTGTTTCCTTTGTTGTACAAAAGCTTTTGATCATGATGAAGTCCTTATAGTTCATTTTGGCCCTTGTGCAGGAATTCAGTAAAGTGTCAGGATATAAAATCAATGCACAGAAATCAGTTGCATTTCTCTACACAAACAACAAGACAGAAGAAAGAGAAATTTGGGAGTCAATCGCATTTACGATTGCACCAAAAACCGTAAGATACCTAGGAATAAACCTAACCAAAGAGACTAAGAATCTATACACAGAAAACTATAAAGTACTCATGAAAGAAATTGAGGAAGACACAAAGAAATGGAAAATTGTTCCATGCTCATGGATTGAAAGAAAACATATTGTGAAAATGTCTATGCTACTGAAAGCAATCTACACATTTAAAGCAATCCCTTTCAAAATCCCATCCCTTTTTTTCAAAGAAATGGAACAAATAATCACAAAATTTATATGAAACCAGAAAAGACCGCACGTAGCCAGAGAAATATTGAAAAAGTAAGTCATACTTGGTGGCATCACAATTCCAGACTTCAAGCTCTATTACAAAGCTGTCATCATCAAGACAGTATGGTACTGGCACAAAAACAGACACACAGATCAATAGAACAGAATAGAGAGCCCAGAAATAGACCCTCAACTCTATGGTCAACTAGTCTTTGACAAATCAGGAAGGAATGTCCAATGGAATAAATACAGTCTCTTCACTAAATTGTGTTGGGAAAATTGGACAGCCACATGCAGAAAAATGAAACTGGACCACACACGAAAATAGACTCAGAATGGATGAAGGACCTCAATGTGAGAAAGGAATCCATCAAAATCCTTGAGGAGAATGCAGGCCGCAACTTCTTCAACCTCAGCCTCAGCAACTTCTTCCTAGGAACATTGCCAATGTAAAGGGGAGCAAGGGTAAAAAAGAAATAAAAAAAAAAAACCTCTTATTATAAATTCATTTATGTCTGGGACACCTGGGTGGCTCAATTAAGTGGCTGCCTTCAGCTCAGGTCACGATAGCAGCATCCTGGGATCCAGTCCCACATTGGGCTCCTTGCCTCGCAGGGAGCCTGCTTCTGCCTCTGCCTCTGCCTGCCACTATGTCTGCCTGTGCTCGCTCTCTCTCTCTCTAACAAATAAATAAATAAAATCTTAAAAAAAAAAGTCCAAAGTTCATTAGCTAATTTCCTACTGTGTAATAAAGATAAGAACATATCAAAGGTAGAAACACCTAATACTAGCTCTGTTTGAGTTCAAATCACTAGATTGTAGTGTATTTTTCAAAGATTTTATTTATTTATTTTTGTAAATGGAAGAGGAAGAGACAGAGAGAGAGAGCGAGAGAGAGAGGGCAAGCTCACAAGCAGGGGGAGTGGATGTCAGAGGGACAAAGGCTCCCTGCCTGAGCAAGGAGCCGGATGTGGAAATTCATCCCAGGACCCTTGAATCATGACCTGAACTGAAGGCAGACACTTAACTGACTGAGCCACCCAGTCATCCCTAGGATTTTATTTTTAAAACACTGGAGTTACAAAAACAAATGGAAACAATGATAACTATATGTATATATTATCAGTCTGCCTATCAATATGTGTGTATATATTACAAATGCATGTACACATTTTCAGATCTATGTGCATTACTCTTCAGTAAACCTGGATATGGCTTAGGAAATTATCTATGTTCACATGAATTTCTTCCTTTTGCCAGAATAGTAACTTTTAGTTACATGACAAAATCATTTTTTTGCCACATGAAGATATCTTTGTTGCAAAGGTATTATTTTTCAGATCTTAAAGCTCTTGAATTTGTCACCATCCCTACACATTTTTTGAAGGCATCACTCAGGGATTCTCTGACTTTCTCATTTCGAAGGCTGTAGATGAAAGGGTTCAGCATTGGCGTTACAATGGTGTTGAGCACTGTGGCAAATTTGTTAACATCCATCACATTTTCCTTTTTTGGGCAGACATAGATAAAGATGGAGCTTCCATAATAAAGTGTCACTACAGTGATATGTGAAACACAGGTGGAGAAAGCTTTCTGTCGTCCCTGGGCAGAGGGAATTCTAAGGATAGTAACAATAATGTACAGGTAAGACACTCCTGTCAGGAGCAAAGAGCCCAAAAGCAACACAGCAGAGGAGATAAAGTCAGCCACCTCAACCAGAGAGATGTCTGCACACACCAGCTTTAGCACTGGGCCACTGTCACACAAAAATAAAGTGATTGATTATATTTGGCCCACAAAAGGGAAGAGGAGCAGTTAAGACCAATGGCACTAAAATTGACAATAATGCACCCACATAAGATCCTAGAAGCAAGAATATGCATGTCTGTTTATTCATGATGATGGCATACCTCAGTGGGTTGCAAATGGCAATATATCAATCAAAAGACATGATGGCCAGGATGAAGAATTCTGTGGATCCCAGAAGGAAGTAGAAGAAAGACTGAGTAAGACATCCCACAAAGGATATTCTCTTGGTTAGGAAAAATGTGTTAGCTAGCATCTTCGGTACCACTGTGGAGGTGATGGCAACTTCAAGGAAAGAAAGATTGGCTACAAAGAAATACATGGGTGAATGCAGACGGTAGTCACCACACACCAAAAGGATGATCATGGTGTTGCCAATCAGAGATGTCATGTACATGAGCAGGAAGGCAGAAAAAAGAAGAATTTCTATTTCTTTCTCATTCTGAAACCCCAGAAGAATGAACTCAGTGACTCTGGTCTTGTTTCTGTGATCCATAATGTTGCCACTTCCACCTGACATAATAAAAAAGATACGTTCATGGTTGGTCTTTGCAATTCAACATTAGAAGTACCCTATCTATAGCTATCAGTCATGTTTCTCTTTGTGGAGGTATGATAATGGAAAAAATTAAACAAATTACATTTTCCCCATATATAAATAAGTCCTAAGATGACCTATGGAAGACAATTCTACAGTAAGATGGTGAAAAGTGCTCTTTTGAAAGGCCAGTGATGCTTCCCTCTGTGTAGGGACTCTGAGACTGAAGTTAGCCCTGCATGGGGACAGATGAGTAGTGTGCCCTTTGATATAGACATAACACAGTGACCTTAATCCCTTCAGATTTAAAGGCATTCATTCAGAGTGCTGGCAGAGTTGCAGTCATGTCTAATTCTGTATTAATATATGTGTACAAAAATAGCTTTTAAAAACTATTTTATTTTCATTGTTAGAAAAAGTATTAAAAAGAACAACAACAAAGACAACAACAACAAATATATACATGATCAGTAATAGGTTCATGACTCCTGAGTTACTGGTTCTAACATCTGTTACAGTTAAATTGACCACTAAGGAAAATAAAGTCAGTCTCATGTAATCTCTATATAGAATCACATTTCATATTGAATAAGATGTTCAGAGGTCACTTAAGAGTAAAAAAATAATCAAAACATGACTTTATCACTGTGATTAAATTTATCTTGGAATTCAATCACAGAAAACTTTAGGGAAGAAGGAGAAAATAATGGATGTTTTTGAATTTGACTAAGAGAAGCAGCAAAGCCTAATTTTGTACAGTTCATACTGCAAATCAAAACTAAAAAGGACAGAGAAAACCACACCATTCATGGAGAGGAGATTGTTTTGTTGTTTTAATTAGTTAATTAATTTATTTTGTTTGTTTTGTTAAAAGTTAGAATTATGGAGTGATTTCAAATTTCAGATTACAAGAAACACAAATTTCTTACTGATTGGTGTTGGAAATGCTAATTTAATTAGGAATGTCTTCCGCTGCTCTTCAATAGATGTGATGGATGAATGTTGTAGAGATTAGATAAAATTTATATCATTGAAGGGTCAAAGTTGGAAATAAGACAAGATCTTGTGTCTTTTAATTTGTTTGGTCACTTTCTTTTTTTCTGACCTAAATTATTTGTTTTTTCTTTTGATGACTTTTATTCTTATTTATTTACTTCACAATGAAGAAGAAAGTGAGAATTTATTCAGATAAATTTCTGAGTTTTGTGTATTATTCATTTTATGATAGAAGAGAAAAAGTTGGATCAATGTTGGGAGTTTGCACTGTGATTCTTTATAATGACTATTCCTAAAATAATAACATGAATTCTGTAGTTTAGTTAATAGGTAATAAATTTCTTAATGTGGTTATGTATTATGAAGGGCCACAGTTTACTTTCCTTTAATCACAGACGGGAAAGGAAATATTAATTGATTTGGTGGGAAAAAATAATTGTGGAGTAAGGTGTTTTATTTGTGAGTCTTTCCTGTGATCTGCTAAATAATTGGTTTGATCATGGGCAATTAATGGATGCCTTGAGAGCACTAGTAATATAAGATAAACACTAAAGTCCCAAGTTGGGACAATAACAATCCTTTCAGTCAATTCCAAAATTTTACACAATATTATCAGTAAGTGAGAAATGGAAAAGAAAGAAAGACCATCAGTTGAAAGAAGAGAATATTGTCAATTCTTTGCTTACCTGCAGGAGGGTACCTCAGAATTTTTATGAACGTGCAAATACATGGTTTCAGAGTATTGCTCCTTTATAACTGCATGGTTTGTGTGTCATCCATGATTAGAATCATTTCTATGGACTGCATTCTCCTGACAGTCTCAGAATGTTAAGAAACAAGGCACAGGAGTATATGACTATGTTTATAGGATACTGTATAAGGACTCTGTGTAGGAATGAGTGAATCAATACTATGGTGTACCAATGATCACATGTACAAATTACTGTAATATAAAAACAGGAGGGAAGGTTGAGTTCATTATTTCTGCTTCTTTAGGGACAGAGCTTCTACTGAGACAACACTCCAGAGAATAATTTATGACAATTCTAATTAAAATAAGTTTCTCAAATTAGAAAAGAACTTGTAAACACAACTTCTATAGGAGCCTAAAAAACCAAAAAGAAATCAGTAAAATCATTGCAGATGCTATTGACAGGAATCAGTCCTTTAATTGCAGTAAAATGTCATGGAATGTGTTTTCATCTTCATCTTCATCTTCATCATCATCATCATCATCATCACCATCATCACCATATACATTTATTTAATACTCACTTTGTATTAGGGATTCTTCTAAAAAGTGCAGGTTTTTTTTTAACTTTACAAAAACCATAGGAGATAGATCATTATTGATATCAAACTGATTATTGATTATCAAACTGAACTGTGGTAACTACTTCATATAGTTAGTAAACATGTATATATATATATATCTATATATGTATATAGATACATATATCTATATATAAATATGTAAGAAAATTATAAAATACAAATTTATCTAAAACACATTATTTTTTTTCAAAAAAGATGTTACCAACACTTATTGACTGGATGTACTTTGATTCACTGAGAAAACATATCTAATCCATGCCATCAGAGGCATATAAACTAGTCAAGAATGAAAGAAAACATACATACATAAGAAATAAAATTGCATACTTTTATGTAGTAAATAAAAATATAATTGGGACATAAAAACAATTGAATGTATAGAAATGCAGCTGATTTCTGTGCATTGATATATATCCTGACATTTTACGGAATTCCTGTATGAGTTCTTTCAGTTTTGGAGTGGAGCCTTTTGAGTTTTCCACATATAGTATCATATCATCTGCAAAAGTGAGAGTTTGACTTCTTCTTTGCCAGTTCAGATGGCTTTTATATATGACAAAGGCAAGAGAGAAGAAAGAGAAATTAAGGGGTCAGTGTCATTTACTATTGCACCCAAAACCATAAGATACCTAGGAAAAACCTAACCAAAGAGGGAAAGAGTATATACTCAGAAAACTATAAAGTACTCATGAAAGAAATTGAGGAAGACACAAAGTAATGGAAAGACAATCCATGCTCATGGACTGGAAGAACAAATATTGTGAAAATGTCTATGCTACCAAAAGCAATCTATACATTTAATGCAATCCTTGTAAAAATACCATCCAATTTTTCAAATAAATGGAACAAATAATCACAAAATTTATGTGGAATTAGAAAAGACTATGAATAGCCAGAAGAATGTTGAAAAAGGAAGCCAAAGTTCATGGCATCACAATTCCAGACTTCAAGCTCTATTACAAAGCTGTAATCAACAAGACAGTATGGTACTGGCACAAAAACAGACACATAAATTAATGGAACAGAATAGAGAGCCCAGAAATAGACCATCTACTGTATGGTCAACTAGTCTTTGACAAAGCAGGAATTAATGTTCTTTGGAAAAAAATCTCCTCAACAAATGGTGGTGGGAAAATTGGACAGGCACATGCAGAAGAATAAAACTGGACCATTTTTTTCTTACACCACACACACAAAAATAGACTCAAATGGATGAAAGCCTTCCATGTGCGACAGGAATCCATCAAAATCCTTGAGATCACAGGCAACAACCTCTTTGACCTCAGCCACAGCAAATTCTTCTGAGAAACATCAACAAAGGCAAGGGAAGCAAGGGCAAAAAATGAACTATTGGAACTTCATCAAGATCAAAAGCTTTTGCATAGCAAAGGGAACAGTTAATAAAACCAAAAGACAACTGATAGAATGGGAGAAGATATTCACAAATGACATATTAGATAAAGGGCTAGTATCCAAAGTGTCTAAAGAACTTCTCAAACTCAACACCCAAAGAACAAATAATCCAATCAGGAAATGGACAGAAGACATGGACACTTCTGCAAAGAAGACATCCAGATGGCCAACAGACACATGAAAAAGTGCTCCACATCACCCAGCATGAGGGAAATACAAATCAAAACCACAGTGAGATACCACTTCACACCAGTCAGAATGGCTAGAATTAACAAGTCAGGAAAAGACATATGCTGGCAAGGAGGTGGAGAAAGGGGAACCATCCTTTACTGTTGGTGGGAATGAAAGCTGGTGTAGCCACTCTGGAAAACAGCATGGAGGCTCCTCAAAAAGTTGAAAATAGAACTACCCTATGACCCAGCAATCACACTACTGGGTATTTACCCTAAGGCTGCAAATGTAGTGATCCAAAGGGGCATGTGCACCCCAATGTTTATAGCAGCAACATCCCCAATAGTCAAACTATGAAAAGAGCCTAGATGTCTATCAATAGATCAATGCATATTGAAGATGTGAGATACATACATACATATATATGTGTGTATATATATGCATATATATATACACACATATGATGCATATGTGAATATGGAGCCATCAAAAAACAAAATCTTGTCATTTACAATGATATGGATGGAACTAGAGGGTATTATGCTAACTGGAACAAGTCAGAGAAAGGCAATTATCATATGATCTCACTGATATGAGGAATTTGAGAAACAAGAAAGAGGATCACAGGGGGAATGGAGGGAAAACAAAACAGGACGAAACCAGAGAGGGAGACAAACCTGAAGAGAATCAATCTCAGGAAACAAACTAAGGGTTGCTGGAGTAGAGGAGGGTGGTATGGATAGGGTGACTGGGTAATGGACATAGGGGAGGGTGTGTGCTATGGTGAGCTCTGTGAATTGTGTAAAACTGATGAATCACAGACCTATACCCCTGAAACAAATAATACATTACATGTTAATAAAAAATTTCTTGGATATGGCACCAAAAAGAACAAGGAATAAAAAGCAAAAATAGACAAGTGTGAAAACATAAGGCTAGAATTTTTCCTTACAGGAAAGAAAACACCCCGGGTGAAAAGGCAAACTATGGAATGATAGAAAATATTTGAAAAACAAATATTTGCAAAATATAAGGAGACGATGTGTGGAATATATAAAGA